TCCCTTCCCCCTGGGGCCATAAAATTTCCCCTGCTCAGCTGCCTTGCGAGCTGGGCCTGGGCTGTAGGCACAGCTCGGCTCGAGGCAGTTCCTGGGTCCTAAAGGCCTCCCTGAGGACAGGTGGTCCAGGTGCCAGCTCAGCCACATTCCTGAGCAGCAGGGGCCCTGACTTCTAGCAGAGGGCCTTCTGTGGGGTGAGCTGGCTTCGGGCCATGGCAGGATCCCGGCGAGGAGGAGCTTGGGCGTTCCCGGACCCCATAGACGCCCAGGTCGCCCTGCAGTGCTGGCTACCCCCTCCCGCCTGCCATCCTGGCTCCCATCCAGCAGGGGCCCTGACTTCTAGCAGAGGACCATCGGTGGGGTGAGTTTGCTTCGGGCCGTGGCAGGGTCCCGGTGAGGAGGAGCTTGGGTGTTCCCCAACCCCATAGACGCCCAGGTTGCCCTGCAGTGCTGGCTACCCCCTCCCGCCTACCATCCCAGCTCCCATCCAGGTACGAATTCCTATATTTCTCCCTTCCCCCTGGGGCCATAAAATTTCCCCTGCTCAGCTGCCTTGCAAGCTGAGCCTGCATTGTAAGCGCATCCAAGAAAGAGGGATTGCCTTTGCTTCAATAGCCTGCCTGAGGAAAGGTGGGCATTCTGTCAGTGAAGTCCCTGCCCAAGAAGGGAACCTGACCTGGTACCAGAAGTTCCAATAGAGAACATTTGAAGTAAGAGATGGGCAGACGCCAAGGCAAGACCTCATCCAACAATCTGAAAAACAACATGAAAACACCAGATCCCAAGGACCCTACAACAGAAGTGCTTGAACACCTTAACCCAGAAGAAGTGGAAAAAAGTGCCATTATGAAAGTAATAGAGTCCCTTAAACAGGATATGAATAACTCCCTTAAAGAACTGGATGAGAAATATAACAAAAAGTTTGAAGAAATGAGTATAGAAATTGATGAGAAATATAACAAAATGTTTGAAGAAATAAGTAAATCCGTGAATGAGACCCTGAGAAACCAAGAAAAAACAATCAAACAAGTAAAGGAATCAGTGCAAGAATTGAAAACTGAAATGGAGGCAATGAAGAAAACACAAACGGAGAACCGGCTGGATGTGGAAAACCTAGGTAAACGAACGGAGACTACAGAATCAAGCATAACCAATAGAATACAAGAGATAGAAGAACGAATCTCGGAATCTGAAGATACCATAGAGAAAATAAATGCTCTGGTCAAAGAAAATGGCAAATCCAACAAATTCTCTTCACAAAACATTCAGGAAATCTGGGACACAATAAAAAAACCAAATCTAAGAATAATAGGGATTGAAGAAGGAGAAGAACTGCAGATCAAAGGCCCAGAAAATATATTCAACAAAATTATAGAAGAAAACTTTCCCAACCTAAAGAACGATATTCCTATGAAGGTTCAAGAAGCATACAGAACACCGAATAGACTGGATCAGAAAAAAACATCTCCTCGCCATATAATAATCAAAACACAAAACATAAATATTAAAGAAAAAATTTTAAGAGCTGCAAAGGAAAAAGGTCAAGTAACTTATAAAGGTAAACCTATCAGGCTTACACCGGATTTCTCTATGGAAACCATGAAAGCCAGAAGATCCTGGATAGAGGTACTGCAGAAACTAAGAGACCATGGATGCAAACCCAGACTACTATACCCAGCCAAGCTATCATTCACTATCAACGGAGAAAACAAAATATTTCAAGATAAGAACAAATTTAAACAATTCGTAGCCACAAACCCAGCCTTACTGAAAGTAATAGAAGGAAAATCGCAACATAAGGAATCCAACATTGCCAACATTACCTATAATGACTCAGACATATAGCGACCCTTCACGAGCTTAACTCAAAAAGGGGACACATAAAACTCTATTAAACAAATAAACAAAAAATAATGATAACCGAGTCAACAACCAATGGTCATTAATATCACTTAATATTAATGGACTCAATTCACCTATAAAAAGGCACAGACTAAGAGATTGGATACGAAAACAGGATCCAACATTCCGCTGTTTACAAGAAACATACCTCAACCACAAAGACAGACATCTACTCAGAGTAAATGGCTGGGAAAAGGTTTTTCAAGCAAACGGACCTAAGAAACAAGCTGGTGTGGCCATTTTAATTTCCAACAAAATTGACTTCAAACTAAACTCAATCAGAAGAGATGGAGATGGACATTTTATACTCATAACAGGAACAATTCATCAGGAGGAAGTCTCAATCCTGACTACCTACGCCCCTAATATAAAGCCTCCTACTTATGTAAAAGAAACACTTCTAGAACTCAAGGCAGTCATCAAACCACACACACTAATAGTAGGAGACTTCAACACTCCTCTCTCACCAATGGACAGGTCAATTAGACAGAAACCAAACAGAGAAATAAGAGAATTATTGGAGGTATTGAATCAAATGGACTTAACAGACATCTATAGAACGTTCCACCCAAATAGGAAAGAATATACCTTCTTCTCTGCAGCTCATGGAACCTTCTCGAAAATTGACCACATACTGGGTAACAAAGCAAACTTCCACAGATACAAAAAAATATTAGTAACCACCTGTGTCTTGTCAGACCACCATGGATTAAAGTTAGAATTCAACAACAGTGCTACCCCCAGGAAGCCAACAAATTCATGGAAGTTGAACAGTCAACTACTGAATCACCCCTGGGTCAAGGAAGAAATAAAGAAAGAAATTAAAGTCTTC